TGCAGTGGGTTTTACTGAGAATGCAAAGGGAGACAACAAAAAATTTGAAATTTGGTGCAACTCCAGAGAAGAGGTCTATATCGTTCAGGTAAAATAAACACACAAAGAGCGATTTAAAAAGAACCCAGTTTAAGTTGAGCCATTGAATATTAGTGGATGTTTGTTTCTTTGCAGGCACCAACAGCTGATGTAAAATCCACCTGGGTAAATGAGATCAGGAAGGTTCTGACAACCCAGCTGGAGGCATGCAGAGGTACAAAGAGGATAAAAAAAAACTACAATACAGTCAGTGTTTATATTAAAAATCTTCTCTGTACAGAAACATGGGCACTTATTTTAGCTGAACTTATAATGACAATAATTATATGGTCACAAAAGTATGGGGTGCCATTTGTAAAGTTGCACAATCAAAAATTAACAGCAATATTTTGGTTTATGGGCAGCACGGTGGCGCAACTGGTAGAGCTGCTGCCTCTCAGTGAGCAGGTCCCTGGTTCAAACCCCGGTCCAGGGGCCTTTCTGGGTGGAGTTTGCATGTTCTCTCCGTGCATGCGTGGGTTTTCTCCGGGTACTCCGGTTTCCTCAAACAGTCCAAAAACATGCATGTTAGGCTGATTGGTAACTCTAAAATTGTCCCTAGGTGTGAGTGAGAGAGTGAATGATTGTTTGTCTCGTTTGTCTCTATGTGGCCCTGCGATGGACTTGCGACCCGTCCAGGGTGTACCCCGCCCCTCGCACAGTGACTGCTGGACATGGGCACCAGCGACCCCCGTGACCCAAAATGGAATAAGCGGGTAAAGAAAATGGATGGATGGATGGATTTTGGTTTATTTAGCCTTTCATAAGAAAAAAAGTTTTTTTTTCAAAGTCATATTTTCACCATGTTATACATACATTTTTTAAGTGTCCTTGGGTGTCATGAAAGGCGCTTTTTAAATAAAATGATTGTTATTATTATTATTATTATTTATAAATGTCATAGTTCACTAACTAAATACTTAACTTGCAAGTTAAATATTTAGTTAGCATGCTAACTATTTAGCTCCACACTAAATATTTAGTTTACAAACTAAATGTCTATGTCCAAGACAAATGTTTAATTTACAAACAAAATATTTAACTTGCAAGTTAAATATTTAGTTAATGAACTAAATATTTAGGTGTAAATTAAATATTACATTTACAAGCTAAATATTTATTTTTAAAACTAAACATTTAATTTCTAAGTTAAACATTTAATTCCTAAACTAAATGTTTAATTTGCTAACCAAATATTTAACTCAGACCTAAATACTTATTTTTCAAACAAAACATTTAATTTTTAAAATATATATTTTTAATTTGCTAACTAAATATTTAGGATGAACATAAAGATTTAACTTGCTAGCTAAATATTTAGCTTACTAGTTAAATATTTGACTTGCAAGTTAAATATTTAGTTTGTAAATTTAACATTTAGCTTGGACATAAACATTTATTTTGCAAACTAAATATTTAGTGTGGAACTAAATATTTAGCTTGCTAAATAAATATTTACCTTGCAAGTTAAGTATTTAGTTTGTAAACTAAATATTTATCTTGTAAATGATTATTTTTTAATATTTTGGAACTATGACATTTATATGTGTATGAATAACATGGTGAATATATAACATTGAAAAATAAAACTTTTTTAATGAAAGGCTAAATAAACCAAAATATTGCTGTTAATTTTTGACTGTGTAACTTTACAAACGGCACCCCATACCAGGTGTCATGTTGACATGTTTTAAACTGTTTTTCAGAAGCCAGCCAGCAGAGGGCACCAGACCAAGTGTTTCAGTACCCCCCTGTACCCAGTGGAACTGTAAGTCTCAGGTAAACAATATTTCCATTTCATTTATCCTGTCACGATTTGAATGAGGAGTCTGATAAGTGACTGTTAAACTTCACATTAATGACCAAATGGGTTATCAATGTCAGTACCTTCAAACTCTGAGCTGTGGGGAACCAGGAACAGTTCTTGGAGTTGTTGAGGCTGCTTCTTCTGTGTGTCTGCAGTCCATTCAAGACGAGTCAGAAGAGCTTTAAAAAAGGAGAGGAGAAGAAAGTTGAACCTCTTAGCTCTGATGTCATTTCCTCATCTTCACCAAAGCTCCCAGAAAAAGGTGAGTAAATTGAAGGAACAGAGAAACTTGTTTGGGAACTTGTTACATTTGTACTGTGTATTTTCTGTCTTAACTTTTTGTTTTTCACCACCTTCCCTCTTTATTGACTTTATCCTCTTCTTTAACTTCCTTCCTTCCTTCTGTATGTCCCTCCATCTTGTTTTTCCTGGGGGTCAGGTGAGGCTGTGACAAGCCCGACCTCAGACAGAGCTGCTGTGACTAAAAAGCGCTTTACTTTACAGGGCTTCAGTAACCTCAAAGCTCAGAAAGGTAACTGCAGCCCATTGTCATTTTCTTAAACAGCAAGTCGTTGTATCAAGATGTAATTTTTAAAGCCGAGCTTTAAAACATAAACAATCTAATTCAGTCTTTAATCCATAAGATGACACCCTTCTTACCAACAAGTAGCTCTGGCAATGACTGGTTACCTTATAAACAAAATAAAAATAGAAAATAATACTCACAAATATAATTTTAAAGACATTTGTATCCACAGAAGCCACATCCTCTGATGACAAACGGTACACTTTACCCATGATAACTTTACCATCATCAGGTATTGCGCAGCTCTAGACCCCAGTTTTTCTCAACCTTTTTCACAGCATGTTTTTTGACTTGATCAAATGAGTAATCAATATTGCAATAAATAATTATAATCTCGTATGCTCTAAATTATATCAGTTTAATGCTTCTGTGTCTGATCCTTCTCTGATAATTTCTGTGAAAAAGGTTTGTGTTGTTGAAACTCCTCAGTTGTGTTTTGCAGAAGCTCTTCTTAAAGCAATAACTCAAATCTTCTGAAATGGGATTCTGTGGAAATTTATGCCCAAATAATACCTGTTGTACTTTAAATGAGCCCAGTTTTAAGGTGAAAAAATACCTTACAACAGGTAAGACAATAACCGTTTACAAGCTTAATACAGAACCCCACTTCAAAAGATTTAATTGATCTAATTTTTAAAGTTGTGTTCCTCCTTTGTCACTTGTCTTTCCTCAACCTTCCTGTTTTCAGTGGTTCCCAATTCTGATCCCTGAGGAACACCACCCTGCTTGTTTTAATTGTTCCTCTGCTCCAACACCTCTGATTTGAATGAAAGCGTGATTAAAATGTTTCTGCCTAACTTAAGGAAGTAACTAAACACTCGATCAGGTGTGTTGGAGAAGAGGAACAACTAAAACATGCAGGATGGTGTTCCTCAAGGACAGTGTTGGGAACCACTAAAGTTCCATTGTTTATTGTTTATCTTTTCATTATAATATTTCTGTGGTGTTACCTTTCATACCTCACTGTCTATATTTTTTTGTCCCTCTCTTGCTTGATGGTAGGATCATCTCCCACCAGCCCAGATCACAAGTCGAAACGTCAGAGTGATCCTACACCATTTGGCTTCAAAGGTAGCGTATTTAGCAGCTCACCTTAGCTGATCATTGTTCTGTCGTGGTTAAGATTAAGATGGTTATAGTTGGATTAGCTGGATCTACCAGGGTGAGTGACAGCTGTGCCTCGTGCTCCTCAAATCCAGGTCCTTCTCCTCTCCACCTGACCAGAGCCAGGTGGCTCAGCACCTCAAGTCTCTTACAGACAAAGTGGAGAGGTATACGGGCGCTGGCGTGTTCATGTGTCAACCCACTGTTTCACTATAAACTAGTTTCCTTTCAAAGCAAGTGAAAATCATAGATTATTCCACTTGTAAAGGAAGAACTGCCTGATCTCTGAAACCTGAGCATGCATGCCACCTTCCACAATCTCTCTTTGCTTGTAGTTGTGGATATGATTACATCTTTGAGGGACTTTTTTGTTTTCCTGTTCTCTTGAAAGCGGTTCACGGATTATACGTCAGCCAGCACAGCAGCTGAAGCTTTAAACTCTAAATGTGTGTTTGGCTCTTTTGTTCAGGATGGAATAAGACTTCTGTGTCTCTGGATGCCTCGGAGGAGCATGAGGGCTACTCCAGCGCTGAGGATCCTCTTAACTCTGACCCAGAAGACGAAAACATCAAGAAGCTGGTGAGTCCATGTGACAAACTAATATTCTTGTAATCACATGTGGGGAAAGAGTACTAGAATTTATTTGAGCTTCTTTGTGGCTTCCCTCCAAATATCAGCATTACTTAACCCTTTTTATTGTTTTTACTGTTATTTTTTAGCTATAGATTTTCTCTGAGGTTGCTGATTTTCTGTTTTGACTGCATCGTCTGCTTCTAATTGCGATTATTAACAGCGTACCGGTAAATACACTGTGACGGCTGACCACGAGATGGGAGGTGATCAAGAGCTCTCAGTGAAGAGCGGAGACACGGTGCAGCTGCTTAAGGAGGGAGAAGACGGACAGTGGTGAGAAGACACCTTTGTTTTTACAGCAGCACTGCGTTGTTGGTGTTCTCAGGCTACATACAGAGATTAAACTCTCACTTTTCGCTCTGAGTGCTTTTAGTTCTATAAGTTGACTGGTGCAGAATACAGAAGATGAGCAGGAATTTTCTTGTGAATGATACAATTTAAATTTGAACTACGTTAGATTTTTTTAATTTCACTTATTTAGTATTTAACAAAACTTGTTGGCAGACACTGGTTTTAAAGCAATAACTGTGATTTTTGAAAAGAGGTCTGTAAAGTTTTTTTTTTTAACTTTTCCCTGTTGTAGATAGTTTTTAAATAGCTTTCGTTTAAGAAATAGACTTTGATCGAACGGACAAGCTAAGTGGAGCCAAGACCAAAGTTGATTAATGCTGTCCTAAACAACACAAATCTTTTGCATGATTTTGTGTTACACAGTTGTTGCAGCATAACGTCATGCGTGGTTCTCCTGCCAAGTGCGTCAATCTGCACTGGAAGTTCTGCAGCAAGCTAGTCATGATAAACTTTTTCCAAAATCAGGAGTTTCAAAGAGTTATTTTCAAGAGATTTTTATTCGTGCACAACCTTTTAACAGAACCCTACTTTAAAAGATCTTGGTTATTGCAGGTAAATGACCAAAGCACAACTTTTATTTGCAGATTTAAACTGCTTCACAGTCTGAATCACTGCGACGAGTTCAAATACCTCACACCGAACATAAAAGCTTGTAGCATTTAAATTCAGTTCAGATGTTATGAACTTGCAGCAAAAATCCCCCCCCCCCCCCCACACACACACACACACACACACACACACACTCCCCAAGTCATTTAACTAACTGTATCTTTGCACCTAGGTTTGTTCGTAACCTGAACACATCACATGAAGGCTGGATACCTGCTGCTAATCTCATCACCCTCATTGGAAAATCCAAGTCTTGTCAGTCTCTCACCAGCTCAGGTATAAAATAAATAAATTAAAAAAAGATTCATCAATCAGCTGTTGCATCTGAGCAAACGCCTTCAGTGTTTGTGTTTCCAACAGAAGGCAGCGGCTCCGGGAACCTCAGCACATCGTCCAGCTGCAGCGAGACCTACACGAACTTCTCGGACGTCAAACCTTGAACTCGTCGGCACCTCTCCTCCTGAATCACGCATCACACGGCTGTGTCTGTGTCGTACCGCCAATATCAGTACTCATAGAAGTTTTGCACAAAAAGCTGTATTTTTTCATTGTTTTTATCATGAACATCCACACTATATTCGAAAAATGTCTTTGAGTTGATTGTTGTGTCATTGTGCAACAATGGTATACGGCAGATGTACACATTAAATAACAATACTCACAGTAAAGAGATTTTCTAGTAAAAGTCTTCTCTGGATATTATTATGATCAAATAACAGATGTGTGGATGGACCAGCAGGACTGATCTCAGTTAATACATCTATCACATTACAAACAACAAAGTTTTAATTAAGAGAACCGTCTTTACATTCACCTACGTTCATTTACCATTTTTTTAAATTTTAACTGTTACTATGTTTATAAGAAAAGAGGAAAAAATAAACATGTGGAGCTTGTTTAGCTTGGATCTGTCTGTTTGACCTGTTTCGTTCATGTTAATTTAATTTGCATCATCCACAATTTTACTTCCTGCTCCTCCTTCCATTTGCTGCTGTTTTTCCTCTCCCTCTGTCTGTTTGATGCCATCTTGTCTTTTTCAAAACTTGTTCTGCCGGCAGCCATCTAGACTCTGTGTGTGAATCTTCCTCCTTTCACGTCATCATGGTCCAACTCTATGGGTTTTCATACTTGAAACAAATGTTTCTGGATGTGAAGAATCAGAAACCGCTGTATAGTGCTAACTTATTCCCTGTGAAGGAATAATGTTCTGAATGTAGATAGTGCGCATTAATAAGTGTCATGTTTGTTAATGAAGATGCTTTATTGTACAGTGAGTATGGTGTTGTCACTATCTGGTGACTTGTTTAATTTTTTTACATAAACAAAGTAATAATTAAATCTGTATTGTTGATTTATTATTGCCAGTGTTTCTGGTCAATTTTCACACAAACTTTATCCAACAAAAACTGCAAGGAAGCTGCAAGATTGGTTGCCAGATAATAATAATTAAAAAAGATCAAACTAGCCTGGTTTAAATCCATTCAAATTGTCTGTTTGGAAAGGGTTTAAACCATATGTGTCAAACTCAAGGCCCGTGGGACAAATGTAGCCCTCGTTGACATCTTATCTGGCCCCCAAGATGATAATTTAAATGTAAAATACTTTTATTACTTTAATTTTTTTCAGTAATTTTTGATTATGATGTCAAAAGTGCAACAGAGAATTCAAGTCAAGTCAAGTCAACTTTATTTATAGAGCACATTTAAAACAGAACCTGTTATCAAAGTGCTTAACAACAACAACAATCAATGAGTAAATTAAAGAGAAAAATATATAAACATATATATACAATACACTAATAATAATAACTGAAGAATTAATAAAAAGCATTTAAAACATAGGGTCACAGATTAAAAAACACTAAATCAATTTACACTGTGTGAAATGTCTGAGAGAACAGATGTGTTTTTAGCAGGGATTTGAAGTGAGGAAGGGAGGTGGCCTGCCTGATGTTGGGGGGCAGGTTGTTCCAGAGTTTGGGGCCCATGACTGAAAAAGCCCGATCTCCTCTGAGCTTCAGTTTTGTTTTTGGAACAGCCAAAAGCAGCTGATCAGATGATCTCAGGGCCCGAGAGGGAACGTAAGATTCCAGAAGCTCAGAGAGGTAAAGGGGTGCGAGGCCATTTAAGCATTTGAAGGTCAACAGAAGAATTTTAAAAACAATGTCAAATTAGACCAATCAAACTCTTGTTGAGGAACCTGCAACCAAGAAAAGATGTTTGGCATCTAACTTGAGTTAATGTAGATTCTGAAACCGGCCCTTAGTTTGAAAAAGGTTTTAATTTTGGCCCCCTTTTGTAAGTGAGTTTGACACCACTAGTTTAAACCATTGATACCTTACTTGCTGTATAAACAGCTATTTATATACCGCAGTTCAGAAAAATTGAGTTAATTCTTGGATTAATTTGGAGGGCAGCTGTGGCTGAGTGGTTAGAGCAGTCGTCCTCCAATGTGAGAGTTGGAGGTTCGAATCCACCAGCAGTCACATGTCGAAGTGTCCCTGGGCAAGACACTGAACCCCTCATAGCCTCTGATGTGTGTCCCATTGGTGTCTGAATGTGATCTAAAGCACTGATTAGTCTCATTAGAATGATTTGTTCAATTAGCTTTGTAGAGATCTAGTATAGAGCTGTATGAATGGGTAAATGAGGACACAGATTGTAGTGTAAAGAGCTTTGAGTATCTTGAAAAAAGATAGAAAGGCGCTGTATAAGTACAGTCCATTTACCATTTAATGTGCTAACCGATAAGCAAGGCCAAGAACAAAGCTGATTACACCTAAAACAACGTTAATGTCAAAGAATTTGTTTAGTGCTAAATTTCTTAAACCTTCCCGCCACTGTCTGTTTTGCACTACACAAATATTCTGGCATAAAATGTGTGAAATTATTTTCAGAAGTGAAACAGAGTCCACCGAAAGTGCTACCTGCTGCTGCTTTTTGTGGTTCAATTCAATTCAATTTAATTTAAGTCGCAACAGAAGTCATGTCAGGGCACTGAACAAAAACATTTGCATAAAAAGTAAATTAGTAATGTAATTTATCTAAAGAAGGTTGTAAATAACAATGAAACGCCATGTCTATTGTGCAATAAAAAATGTCCGCGATGCAATGTTTTCTAAAATAGTGTTCACGTGATTTTTTTTGTTGTTGCTTGGATTAACGATTTGCTTGTTAATTCAGTCAGAACTAAAGTCTTTTCTCCAAGATGTTTCAAAAGACCTATCTGAAACAGGTAAGATGTTAGTAATACATAACTTGTGAAAACAATCGAAACAATATTTTTCAGACTGTTATCCTGCAAACAAATAGATTAGTTTGCTTATGACTTATATTTTATTGAGAAAGCATAAAGTCATCAAGTAGTGATTTAATAAAATGTGTTATTAAATCACTATGACTCTGCTTTCATGTTGACCGGGGAAACGCATGCATTCCACTCCCCACCACAAGTGGGGAGTGGAATGCATGACGGCACGACATTCCGTCATTTCCTATCTGGCAACCGGACGTGAAACGGATGAGTGCGTAACGCAAACCAGGAAGTAGTTGTTTTTTTTTATTTTTTGCATTTTACGGCGGTTAGAAAAGAGGCAGTGAGAAGCACAAAAGCACTTTGTCTCAGTCTAAAAGACGGCAGAGATGAGCCTCAGTGGCAGAGCTTGTTGTCTTCTGTGTCAGCGGTCCGAGGAGACTAAAATAACCGGACCTTTATCCACTAAAGAAGATGTGACGGCCCACCAGAACTGTTTGGTGAGCGACGCAAACACAATGAGCTAACTGAAAATTGAGAGGAGCATTAAGGGTTAAAAATGCTGGCGCTAAATTTCATAAATCGAAGTTCAGCAAAAAATAAAAAATATATATTTTGAGTTTGCCTCTTGATTTCGAAGCAGTAGCTTCTTGTCGACATTGCAGCAAACTGATGTTTAGTTAATGAAGAATCTGTTGTAAGTTACTTAAAGTAACTGGAGAGCAACGAATATGTTGTCTGTTGCACTAAACCTGCAGTTTATAAAGAATTGTAATCAATAATCGTCATAATTATATAGTAATTATTTTAACTGATGGAAACTACTATTGAAAAAAAAAAACATTTTTTACCAGCAAAATTTAGTAAAATACTGGTATTTTCCTAGTGTGGATCATATTATATAACTGTCAAAGATTAAGTTTTACATTCTTAATTTTATTTTCTCTCCTATAATAATACAGTTAATCAATGTTTTAGATCTATTTAGTATTTCTTAGCAGACGTATGCTGGTTAAGTTCAAGTTGAGTTAATTTGTCATATGCAAGGTTAACACAAGGTCAACAGTACAATGAAAAGCTTAGGATGAGAAGAACTGATTTGACTCACTAAAAAAAAAAATCAAAGAACAAACAAGAAATACTAAAAGCATGAAATAAGGGTACAAAAATAAAGTACCAAAAAGTGAAAAAGTAATTATAATATTTACAAGGTCCTAAAGAGAGATAGTAAACAACAACATGGTAGAATTTCAACGATGCTAGCAGGATGAATTTAAATGAATAATATTTCAAGGTAGTTACATAAGCTAAAATGCACGATGTGTGTGTGTCTCTCTCTCTCTATCTATCTATATGTACACACATTTATTTATTTATACTCACATTTATTTATTTATATACACATTTATTTATTTATATACATACATATTGTTGGATTTCATGTTTTATCTTTTATTATTATTTTAATCAAACTTGAAATTTCATGTTATAAAATGTGTATGTGTCATGTTTTGAAGGGTTTTCATTACCTTAAAATCATTTAAATATTAATCAGTTAGTTTGCTTAAATATAATCTTACATTAACTAGAGAAAATCTTATAAATTCACAATCTTACACATTTTATATTATTACAAGCGTCTCAGAGCAGGTAAGATACTGATTAGACTCCAGGAAGGTGTCTCTGAGGATTACACACACCCACACACGCTCACCCACACACGCTCACCCACACACGCTCACTCACACACACCTCACACACACACACACACACAGACTGAGGAACATGAAAGTATCTAGAACACATTTCTCTAACTTAAACTTAATATAGTTTGCTTAAACTTAATATAGTTTGACTAAACAAAATTAGTAAGATAATAGAAAGTAGCATTTAATCGTTTAACAATTGTGATCAGTTCAGAGGAAAGAATCTTCAGCTAAAAACACCAGCGTGTCTAACAAAGAGCCATAAAACTTTATCTATGGTATGTAACCTCCAAGGCTTATCTAACAAGCAGAAGAGCCCCGTAACCATGACAACGGGTTGTTTAAACCAATCAGAGACAGAGCCTGCTAAAATCGGTGATAAGGTGCAGAGGCAGAGGGCAGATCAGTGCATTTGCTGGGAGACTCAACTGTTGAAGGTTGGTTCGGTAAAATGCCCATTGTATGCATACAATTGTATCTTGTTTAATGATTTCTGAATACTTGTAATCCGTTGTCAAATAAATCTTTTGAACTAAGGTGCCCGCTTCAGCTGTTTTGAACACGACGGTGGCTCTCTAGCCACAACAATACATAATCACATGATTAACATATACTACACAGGTTGTGTGACAGGTTATTGCACAGGTAGTGGCTTTGAGATTGAATTATGATGGTAAAGTAGATACATAGATACTGTATCATGATACAGCCTAGTATCAGCCTAAATACAGCCACATAGTGCAGCATCAATAATAAACATATTAGCTGTCACTAGGCCTGTCGCGATAAACAATAAATCAATTAATCGCATGATAAAATTATCGACTTCATTTTCATTTATCGGCTTTATCATTTCTTCGTTTCTCTTTCTACTGAAGACACTGGATGACAAAAGGCTCAACTCCGTTGCTCTTCACTGATCCCTCCCTTTCTCTTAAATCTTTTACCGATCCAAAATCTTTTTTTTGGATCATTAAAAACGTTGGTTACGTACTGTAACCCCAGATTCCATGAGTTTAGACACAGCCCTTTAAGGCTATCGCTAGTGGGTTTATCCCGGCGCGCGCAGTGCAGCACTGACAACTTTAGTCCACGCCCACCTACTGTGTGGGCCTCACCCCCGGTCCGTATAAATTACGGTGAGACCAGGTAATCGGCTCCCAAATAGCTTTTTTTTCTTCAGCCATTTAAGAACCAGTGAGGCCCAGAGCTTAAAGGGCTGCGCCTATACTCATAGAATCTGGGGTTACAGTACGTAACCAACGTTCTATTTCGTATATGCTTCGCCCTTTAAGGCTATCGCTAGTGGGTTAAAGGCAAAGCAGGATGTAGTCTATGCCTCACTGGGTCCATTCAGACACAATATGAAGCGCCCGCTTGCACCAAAAAACATTTCATCACTCCGCCTTCTGTGTGCGTAATTACACGCTGCGTAATTACGCGTACCATGCTCAGGAGTACGCTGAGTAATTACAGTGAGACCTGGAGGGGTGTGTTTGGGAGGAACGGCCCCCCTGATCTGAACCTGAGTGGTGTTCTGTTGTTGGACTTCTGTGCTTGTCATGGATTGTCCATAACGAACACCATGTTCAAGCATAAGGGTGTCCATATGTGCTCTTGGCACCAGGACACCCTAGGCCGCAGTTCAATGATCAACTTTGTCATCGTCTCATCTGATCTGCGGGCACGTCTTGGACACTCGGGTGAAGAGAGGGGCGGAGCTTTCCACTGATCACTACCTGGTGGTGAGTTGGCTCCGATGGTGGGGGAGGATGCCGGTCAGACCTGGCAGACTCAAACATATTGTGAGGGTTTGCTGGAAACGTCTGGCATAGTCTGTGAGACAGAGCTTTAACTCCCACCTCCGGGAGAACTTTGAACATGTTCCGGGGGAGGTGGGGGACATTGAGTCCGAGTGGGCCATATTCCATGCCTCTATTGTCGAGGCGGCTTACCGGAGCTGTGGCCGCAAGGTTGTCGGTGCCTGTCGCGGTGGCAACCCTCGAACCCAATGGTGGACACCGTCAATGAGGGATGCTGTCAGGCTGAAGAAGGAGTCCTATTGTGCCTTTTTGGCCTGTGGGACCCCGGAAGCAGCTGATGGGTACCGGCAGTCCAAGCGACATGCAACTCGGGTGGTCGCTGAGGCAAAAACTCGGGCATGGGAGGAGTTCGGAGAGGCCATGGAGAATGACTTCCGCACGGCTTCGAGGCAATTCTGGTCCACCATCCGGCGTCTCGGGGGGGGGAAGCGGTACACCACCAACACTGTTTATAGTGGGGGTGGTGTGCTGCTGACCTCCACTCAGGATGTTGTGGGTCGGTGGGCAGAATACTTTGAAGACCTCCTCAATCCCATCGGCACGTCTTCCACTGAGGAAGCGGAGCCTGGGGACTCTGGGTCAGGCCCACCAATCTCTGGTGCTGAGGTCCCTGAGATGGTTAAAAAGCTCCTCAGTGGCAGGGCCCCAGGGGTGGATGAGATTCGCCCAGAGTTCTTTAAGGCTCTGGATGTTGTAGGTTTGTGTTGGCTTACGCGACTCTGCAATATTGCGTGGACATCGGGGGAAGTTCCCCTGGATTGGCAGACCCGGGTGGAGGTTCCCCTATTCAAAAAGGGGGACCGTAGAGTGTGTTCCAACTACAGGGGGATCACACTGTTAAGCCTCCCTGGTAAGGTCTATTCGGGGGTTCTGGAGAGGAGGGTCCGTCGGATAGTCGAACCTCAGATTCAAGAGGAGCAGTGCGGTTTTCATCCTGGTTGTGAAACACTGGACCAGCTCTACACTCTCAACAGGGTCCTGGAGGGTGTGTGGGAATTTGCCCAACTGGTCTACATGTGCTTTGTGGACTTGGAGAAGGCGTTCGACCGCATCCCTCGGGGAACCCTGTGGGAGGTACTCTGGGAGTATGGGGTACCGGGCCCTTTGATACGGGCTGTTAGGTCCCTGTATGACCGGTGTCAGAGCCTGGTTCACATTGCCAACAGTAACTTGGGCTTGTTCCCAGTGAGAGTTGGATTCCGCCAAGGTTGCCCTTTGTCACGGATTCTGTTCATAGCTTTTATGGACAGAATTTCTAGGCACAGCCAAGGTGTTGAGGGGATCCGTTTTGGTGGCCTTAGGATTGCGTCTCTGCTTTTTGCAGACGATGTGGTCCTGTTGGCTTCATCAGATCGTGATCTACAGCTTTCGCTGGAGCGGTTCGCAGCCGAGTGAGTGAGTGCCCTCTCTGGGTCAGGGAGGAGGTCCTGCCCCAAGTGGAGGAGTTCAAGTATCTTGGGGTCTTGTTCACAAATGGACCAAGTGGCTAGGGATAGGGAAGTCTGGGCCTTCCTACTTAGGCTGCTACCCCCGCGACCCGACCCCGGATGAGCAGAAGAAATTGGATGGATGCACAGGAGCGCCCCGGAGAGAAAAAGGTTTCCGACGGGGAAAAAAAAGGGGGGGGGAAGGCTGAAAGCAGTCCTGCTGCCTAGAATGGAAAAGAACAGAGGTTACAAATTGTAACCATGTAACAGTTAGCAGAGCAGGTCAACAGCTCTTCAATATGAACTGATTAATAACAAATGAACTGATTAGTAATCAAATGAACTGATTAGTAACAGTAGTCATGAACTGATTAGTAACCATAAAAACAGCAGTCACAAACTTGTGACTGATAATAAATATCTCACACTGTAACTGCATGCTGACAGATTTGAGTTTAAAACGAAATTCCATGAAAACAGTAAGATTCATTCTGTTAAAGCACTAAGAACAGAATGGGTCATGGAGAAAGCAGAAACATCACGC